CAAACGACAAATTTCAACAATCCTAAACCACAATTACTACCAACCTAATAGAGCTGAAGAATTGATGATTTTGAACTGTGGTATTGGGGAAGACGCTTGAGAGTCCCTTGGACTGCAAGGAGATCCCAAGTCCATCTGAAAGATTATCAGTCCTGAATATTCATTGGAAGGACTGATGCTGAAGCTGAAACTCCAATACTTTGGTCACCTGATGTAAAGAACTGACTCATATAAAAAGGCCCTGATGCTGGGAAAGATTGAAGGCAGGAGGAGAAGGGGACGACAACAGAGAATGAGATGGTCGGATGGCATCACCAACTCAATGGACATGCATTTGAGTAAACTCCAGGAGTTGGTGATGGACAAAGAGGACTGGCATGCTGTAGTCCATGGGGTCGCAAAGAGTCAGACACGACTGAGCAACTGAACTGAACTGGATAGATATTTTTTCAAAGGTTCTTTTGGGTTTTTTCATAACATGTAGTGAAAAGCCTGTGGAAACTTTTTGGCCAGCCCAGTAACTGGTAGAGAAGTAACCATCACTCATGTTAGCCGTGAGAGTAGGAGATGTTTAGTATTTTGGGCAATGTGACCTTGTGCTTTCTTCTGTGCTTAGGCAAAATGATGCAGTAGTCTTGCTTGGTCTCATTATATTGTGTCTCAGAGTAACCTTGATGAGATTGGTATGATGTCTGATAGGAGACTAACAGCCCAGCTCTGAGAGTGAGGCTGGCTTCTCATTGCAGAGCTGCTTTTTTTTTTTTTCTTATTTGGAGGGACCTGATATTGGTGGGGAAGATCCCCTAGAGGAGGAAATAACAACTCAACAACTCGGTCCAGTATTCTTGCCTGAAAAATCCCATGAACAGAGGAGCCTGGTGGGCTACTGTCCACGAGGTCACAGAGCGTAGGATGCAACTGAGCATGCATGCATGATATTTGGGAAATTATATCAGATGAGTTAATCAGAAAAAATTTTCTGAAGAGGGGAAAGCTTGGCATTTACTGCTTATATGAAGGCATCACATAGAGAAGAACTGAGGAGAATGGAAACAACAGAGGGAAACAGCAAGTGTGAAGAAACATCTCATTATACCTGAGAGGTAATGTTTGAAAAAAATACATCAGAAGTGTGATTCTTTGCATCAGTGATTCTCAGGGGGTTGGAGGTAAGGGAGTTTCAGAATCTCAAGACAGGAGGAGTAAAATCTCAGCAAGTCTCCTGGGGATGGTGACATGACAGTTCTCCAAGACAGACTTTCCTTCTTTCCTCCACCCTCCTCCACAGTTTTAGTTAGACCACCTAGGCTTTATGTGGAAAATCCAATTGATAATTGATAATTTAGTATGACCCTACATATCATACAATAAAATTGCTTGTCCAGAAAGGTTTTACCACCATCCAGGGAAATAGATGGGATTGTTATCTAGTGCATGGGCTGTCAGTGGCAGATCAATTATCCTAGATATATTTTTCTTTACTCTCTTGAAACTAGATAGACTGTAGTGGTTTTTCCAGTACTTCTAATATGCAGAGTGTTTAAGTGAGGTCTCTACTTCCACTTTATAGTGAAGAATTCCTAATAATATGGTTTTATCATTCCATCTACCTGTGCATATCCAGTTGGTTTGTTTAGACACTATATAATAGTGGGTTTGAAGACATCATTATTACCAAATGCAAATTTAGCATATTAACACAAAATATGTTAACAATGATAAGTATGCCATACAGCAGAGAAGAGTAATTATAACCACGCACTCTGAAGCCAGATTTTCTGGATTCAAATTACAGCTTTACCGCTTTGTAGTTAAGTTACCATGAACAAGTTACTTAGCTCATATGTCTCAGGTTCTTCTATAATGTGAAGATATTAATGGTGCCCACCTCAAAGGTTTGTGGTCAAAATTAAAATATATTTTAAGTTTTTAGACTGGCTCATGATAAGCATTTCATAAGTGCTAGCTGTGTGATAACGATGGTGACATTGTATTGGTAAAAGAAAAAAAAAAACTTTTTAACAACACATTTCTATACTTGATGTGTTAATTATGAACTAACCAGTATATATAAAGGTTCACAGATCTTGTTAAGGGATGAGTCATCTTACCTGTGATAATGTATAGGGCCTCTCCTCTTGCTTTAAGAGAAATCATAGAATGGATTCGTTTTTGGCAATATCTTAAAATATGCATTTAACTTATAATATTTTTTCCTCTTTGACTGATTTGTCTGATTCATCCAGGCCTACCATAGATAAGGGGTTTTTTTTTTTTACATTCTATGACTGAATTTTTTGGGCTTTGCCTAAAGGATGCATTAGGAGTCTCAGCTCTTTAATTGAGGCAGCCATATTTAGTGTCACTGAAATAAGTGTGATAACAGCTTGATCACGCAAAGCTTGACATGAAGAATATACCTGCTTGGTGTTAATAAGATATTTGAATTTCAGACAACAGAAGACCAAAGAAATTGCCACTCTGCCTGTCTTGATAAAATACCAACAGAGCTCACTATTCATTTCAGTTTATTTGAATTACTGTGAAATGTTAACAGAAAATCACTTGCAGTCTGGGCTCATGGCAGGTGAGAGGTATTAAAATATCATTGAATCTTTATATATACTAACAAGTTTATTAAGGCAAAATAAAAGGAAGAAGAAAACCATATTTGTTTGTTCTTGATATTCATTAAAACAAACCAGAGTGATCTGAGGAGAAATTTCAACTATTCCAGTAGGCCGAGATATATCAGACATTAATTTAAACACATACTTTTATTCTCAAAGTTCACAGCCTCAATATAAAAGTGTAGAAAATTTCTATCACTAACCAATTTTTTATGTCCAAGAGAAAATCTTTAAAAAAATAAAAACATTATTACAAACAAAACTGGGAATTATGGCTTCTTTTTCCTGTGAACATGCACACATGTGCTCAGTCATGTCCAGCTCTTTGTGACCGCCAGGCACGTCTGTCCATGGAATTTCCCTAAGAATACTGGAATTTCCAGCTAAGAATACTGGAGTGGGTTGCCATTTCCTTCTTCAGGGGATCTTCCAAACTGAGGGACTGAACCCATGTCTCTTGTGTCTTCGGCATTGACAGGTGGATTCTTTACCCCTGGTGCCACCTGGGAAGCCCCAGTGAACATAAAGAGCATTTAACCTCCAACGTGTTGAGAGCATCATTAAGTAAAAAAACAAACAAAACAAAACTATTCTTGTTTTAATGTCAAATTATGTAAGATTTGCCCGATATCACTTGCACTGAATTTAGGGACCACATTCTAGTCAGTTTTTTGTTTGCTTGTTTATTAGTTTATTTATCATATATATAAAAAATTCTTGCTAGACTGCTTTCTATTTCTAATGAACAAGTTTGCACATAATTTAGGAAGCAAAGTTTTGGCTTTTCCTTTTCAGTTTTTCACTTAGAAAAGAATCTTAGCATCTGTTCCAAAAGATAGTTAATATTCATGAATAGTCAATGTTCAGTTGACTGTAATGAATTGGTCCAAAGAAAATATGGATAATTGAAATCTATGGTGCTGTAAAAATTAAATTTTATCCTCTATACTTAAACTTACATAGCATCAAGCTACTGTCCAGAACTGCTAGCTAATAAACCAACTGAAGATATTTTAATTTTCATTTCTTTCATCTTTCCTTTCACCTTTCCTTTCATTTTCTTTCACCTTTAAAATTTATATAACTTAAAGCACGTGAATAGTACTTTACAGTTTATAAGCACTTTTACATATATTACTACTTTTGATCTTTTCTGTTTCCTTATGGGGAAGGGACATTTATAGAATTACAGAAGGTTTTATTATATTTACTTCATAGATAAGCTGTTGATCAAACATCATATTCTTACATTAATGCAGGGAATTGATCATAGAAAATGGTCTGGAATGTCAAGCTTTATTGAATTTATTGCATTGCATGAGAAGGCCTCTGACCTCCTTTCCCACAATAACTCCTGCAGTCAGCCTTGTCTTCTCCTGCCCTATATCCATATCACTGTTTACTGTTTCTGATCTTTGAATCTTTGTCTTCATTTCCCTCTCTCCATATACCCCTGTCTGAAATTTTGCTGCTTTTCTTGACTATACAAATCCTACCAATCAGTCAAGGTCCAGCAAAAGTTCCATCTCCTTGAAGAAGTCTTCCAGCTCCTATTGTTCTTACTAAAATAATACAACATTTACAGGCATTGGTTCTTAGGTTCCCAATTGTTTCATTATTCAGTATTTCATCTAAATTCTCCTAACAGATTATAAGCTGCAAAGAACAGACATCAACTCTTATACATCTTTGAAACCCACAGCACTCTAGCCCTAGATACATTTGTAGTAAATTCATGATAAATATTTGTCTATTTTTTAATCTGTCCATTGGAGCCATTGCTGAACTATAGATGATCTTACTATACTTGTATTCAAACCATGCAATGTACAATTTAGCCTCATCAGTCACTCATTATAGTTGAGTTCAGTGTGATCTTTTCAATATGTATGTATACCAGTTGACCCTAGCATTGATTTCTAATAGCAGTGAAGCCCAGACATATGGCTTGTGGAATCAAATCAACTACATATGCCTGAAGGATTCCCTGAATAGAGCAGGCATTTGGCCCATATATCAGTATGGAGAACAGGAACAGGAAATGTTATGCAGTGATTGCTTTTCTATAGAATTACATTAGCATCACGCATTCTGCTAGTCATAATTTCTCAGCAGATCAGGGCTATCTATCAATGGCACTTCCTGTGGTACAGCATATGAAAATGCATTCCATTATTCATTATAAATGATGCTGATCAGGCATATGTCATTACAAATTAAATTTTTAAAGAGGAGACCTCTATGTAAAAATGGCCCACTTGAGAGTCACTATTTTAAAAAAACATGAACATGGTACTTTGTGGCAATTTGGTTTTTCTGGAATATAAGTATTCTGTTAAAACAAAGAACTACTTTTGTTCATATTTTCAGGGGAATTTGGAGAAGTCTGTAGTGGACGTTTGAAAACACCAGGGAAAAGAGAGATCCCAGTTGCCATCAAAACTTTGAAAGGTGGCCACATGGATCGGCAAAGAAGAGATTTCTTAAGAGAAGCAAGTATCATGGGTCAGTTTGACCACCCAAACATCATTCGCTTAGAAGGTGTTGTTACAAAAAGTAAGTACTGATTTTCTTTTATACATCTATCTCAATTATTTTTTTAAAAAATGTTTAATAGCAATATCACAGCTATTACAAGCATAACTTAGTTCAGATATCACCCCTCGGAGTCTTGGTATTAGGCTATGACAATATCAGAGTTTGCATTGGTTGCCAAACAGCTTTGAAATGCTTTTTATTACCTGTGAAGCATTTACTAATTTAACTTGAAGTAATAAATCAAGGTAAAGGGTTATATATGTTTTTCTAATTTCTATAAGCATTTCAGTTCTTCTAAAACTGCCTAAACTTCAATATAGGAGAAGCATTTAAAATACTTGGGGTCATTAAGTTAGTTCTATTTGGAAATAAATGTCATATACAAATATAGAATGCATTATCTAAAGTAAAGCATTCAAATAAAAATTTCTTTATGCAACTCATCCTTATAAATGCCATTAGAACTATATTATTTTAATTTATAAAAATCAAGAAATGAATTACAGTTTCTGAAATAAAAATCCTGTTTTTACAGAAATAGAATCAAAAAACTTTCCTTTGGGGAAAAAAATTCTTAAAAATCCCAAATTAGTCATATACTCCAAGAAACAGATTGCAATATATTCACTTTTATGTGAATAATGACAAGATATAAAGCTTAATCTTTCTCCTTATTTTATTCACTAATGAGTTATAACATATAAAACGTAATACAGAATGGACATAAAAAACTCATAAAAATTATTTAAATCTTTGAGAGGCATTTTTCTTTCATCAAACTGAATTTTTTTAAACTGTGTAAATGAAATTGAAATTTCATGTTATATTTGGAGGAAGAAAGGTGTAAATGCTTGCTAAAAACATGTAATTGTGCCTGGAACTCCAAAGTCCTTCTCACAGGCGTTAGCTAACACGCTACCCAAGGAGAGCAGATTACTGATAGGCATGGAAGCTTGGCGGACAGTAAAGAGTGCGTTTGATGTCAACTGTTGCTATGGGCTGTAAACTTAGTGGCCTTAGTAGAACCTTCCAGTCTTCATGCCCTTGTGTTGTTCTCTTCCAAATTGATTCTGGGCTTGTTCATGTGACTAGCCTTGGCCTGTGGTACATTAACAAGTGTGATGAAAGTGGAAGCATCTTACATATTTGTACAGTGGAACTTGTCCTTTGGAAACACTCTGACACATGACTCAGCCTCAAGGGCTAAGCAAAGCCAGTCCATATGGAGGGGCCACACGCATATACTGCAAAGAAGGGTGCAGAGGCATTTTAGTCCCAAGAGGGCTACAGGAGCTCCCAGCAGATAGTCAATACTGAGTGGCAGGTTTGTGAAGAACCATCTCAGACATTACAGTCCCTACTACCACCCCCAGATGGCTGCAGCTGCAGTTGATATTTTGTGGAGCAAAGGAACCACCCAGTTCAGTCCAGTAAACCCATAAAATCATGAGCGTTAATAAAATGGCTGTTGTAAGTTGCTCATTTTGGATAGTTTTGTTACACAGCAGTGTATAACCAAACTAAACACCAGTTAGAATTCCACTCCTGCCAGATTTGTACAGTTTTAAGTAGATGATTTAACATCTCTATTGTTTACTTCCACATCTGTAAAATGGGATCAAAATGGCTCCTACCCAACAGGGATGCTATAAAGATTAATTTTTAAATCTATAAAGCATTTATGTAGTGTGTAACTCACAGTAAGCCACATTAAATGGCAGCTGATCCCCTGGAGAAGAAATGGCAACCCATTCCAGTATTCTTGCTGGGAAATCTCATGGACAGAGGAACATGGCAGGCTACAGTCCGTGGGGTCGCCAGAGTGGGACAGGACTTAGTGACTAAACCACCACATTATTGGTAATATAGTTTACCATTTCATTTTCATGGCAACTCTCATGCATACCCATTGAAGCTCAGACAGGGTAATTAACCCACATGAAGACCTCTAAATCATAGTAAGTGGCATGGCTGATACTCAAATTGAGGTCTGTCGTACAGACTTGTGGCATTTTTTGTTTCTTTGCTTTTTTTTTTTTTCATTTATTTTTATTAGTTGGAGGCTAATTACTTTACAATATTGTAGTGGTTTTTGTCATACATTTACATGAATTAGCCATGGATTTACATTATTCCACTTACCAAAATATTTTCCCTATTTTTAAAGAGTACTGTGTTATTTTAATCAGATTGTCAATAATTTAATGCTATTTAATTCAGATAAGACAAAGTGTAATAGTCTGACTTACTCCCTGTGAAAACTTTTTATTTGCTATATCACAGGCAGTAAGTCAGACTATTACATTTTGTCTTATCTGAATTAAATAGCATTAAATTATTGACAATCTGAATACAATAGCAGCACTCTTTAAAAATAGGGAAAATATTTTGGTAAGTGGAATAAATCATCTCTTATTTTGTCAAATTTGGAGAGATCAGATATGCCACAAAACCTAGCAAAAATACTAATCTGAAAGAGAGAGAGGAAACATGTTAATTATTTCTTTTATGTTTTCTGACTTCCTTGCAATAATTTAGCATGAACATTTCAAGTCATTCCTTCTGTTTTCTATCTCTCTCAAGAAGAAAAGAGATGATTTTGAACTTGGTTATGAATCTTTGCAAAGCATTTAAAATAATTTAAGTATGCTGTTGAAGCCCTATATGAGTATTTATGAGTATTTATATCTGGAAATAAGTGCCCACAATAAATTTAAAGACCAGATATTTATTTTTACCTATGATAAATCACACTCTGTGAATTATTCATGTATTCCTATATGTTTTATTATCTACCAATACAATATTATATATAATTTGGTCTTATGAAGTAGGAATCTTTTATTCTAAATCAACTGAATAGGTTTAATAAGATAATTTAAGGCACTTGTCTGCTAGTTTGAAATAATCAGTTTATTTCACAAAAACATCAAAACAATTAGCCCAGTGATTGCTTTACACCTCTAACAATCTTGTATAAAGTTAAGACCGGTGACCTTTACTTAGCCTAATTTGTATGATTTCTAAGTGAAGGTCCTTATTTCATATCAAGAAAAAGATAAAGAGAGATAAGTTAAGAAAAAAAAAAAGACTAATTGAGAAAGGATAGATTCAATAGGCTTTTGAGTGGCAATAATCATTGTAATTTTCGCTTGTTACCATGATACCCTATGTGGGTCTGTGGTAGTGTGGTGATGCTGAAGTGGATGGTGGAGATGCAGAAAGGATTAATTGCTGCAGAGATAAGTGGGCATGTTTATACTGTTATCTTCTTGACTCAAATGCTATGGGATTTTTAGGAGAAAGACAATAAATAAATAAATGCCTCATTCCCATAAATACATGATAATTGTTCCAAGATTGCCCTTAAGTAGCTAAGAGATAGCTAGCAATTAAGGTTCCCTAAAGACTACCAATTGCATAAAAGATAGTACTGACAAAGATAACGATGCAGTATAGGTTTATATGGTCATGTTATTAGAGTGTCCTGGGGTTCTGAGAAATAATGCACAGACTCTCAGTTGAAAGTAATACAAAATTACAGATCAAAATCTTCATCAGATCCTTTTATAAATTCTCAATATGCATAATTTTTATCTTATATAAAAGTTTTATCACTGAGGGATACATATTATAAAGTTCTTGGGAACACTTTTGCTGTTTCATACTTGTATATATAACTACTTTTATACTTCTAAGTTAAATGATTAAAAGCTGTATTACATAAAGAAGTGTGCCTGATAAGAGTTGAACCTATTTGTTTGATACACATCACAATTTCTTAACCTGCTAAGATGCAACTAATATAAAAAGAGTTTAATCCAGTTAAATCATATGCTTAGCATATACTTTTTCTCCAAGAAGCAAATGGAAGCCATCGGTTAGAGCATAGACTTATAGATATTAGTACTATGGATAGTAACAATTTATAACACGTGATGTATACACCAATGTCATTATATATCCAAAAGAGAAAGTTCTACCTTTCTATAAAAAGATAAGAATTGTGGTTAAATAATCACTCTTCAAATGACTGGGCCTTCCATTTGAATTCATGATGATATGGAAAACCACAAGGAGAGAGAATAAAGCACCTAACTCCCAGGTTAGGGAACAACTAAATGTAAATGTACGAACTGTATCTCAATTAAATCATAAATCCCGTGAGGAATAATAGAAGTCAGTCAGCACATCAAGCAGATTCCCAAATGTCAGTTTATTTCATCATAGGATGTTGCTACAGACTCTGGAGCAGCATAGAAGCTATAACACAAAGTACTGGGCCTCCACAAACCATCTTTAAACATTCCAGAAAATTGAGGTGGTGCTGGTTTAGTCACTAAGTCATGTCCAACTCTTGCAACCCCATGGACTGTAGCCAGCCAGGCTCTCTGTCCATGGGATTCTCTAGGCAAGGATACTGGAGTGGTCTGCAATTTCCTTCTCCAGGGGACCTTCCCGACCCTGGGATCGAACCTGGGTCTCCTTCACTGCAGGCAGATTCTTGACTGACTGAGTAGGTTCCTTCCAAGTAGTTTTGATGGGTCCACATGGATGCTAAATCAGAGAGTAGATTCAAAATAGACAGTAAATACACCAAAACTGCTTCTCTGCTCCCAAAATTGCATTTTACTTGCCAAGTAATATATTCTCCAAGATTTTGACTATGACTGTTGCCCAGTATGATAGCTGCCTCTCCACCTTGTATATTCTGCTATTAGACACAGGGTCTTGTTCAAGTCACTCAATACCTTTAGGCCTCAGTATTTTCCTCTGCATAAAGATTCAAAAGTGCAGATTGGACTACAGAACAAGAAAGGTCATACCTAACACTAAAGTTTTTGTGTTTCATTCCTTTGCCAAAAGAGGACTCCTGAAATGTTCCTAAGGAAAGCTTGTGACAGTAATAAGTTACCACCACCTCACCTCCAACTTTATTATAGCATCAGGCTGGTATTGCTGATCAGGAAGAAACAAAAAGTGCCTTTAATAAAGTGTTTATCTTAGGATCTGTAAGG